TCAGTCTTCATTAAAACATTTCTCGGGGAGTTTGAAAATTTGCTGGCATTTATTGATGATAAGGAGCGGGTAATTTGTTTTCCATTTTACAAGGAAATACCTTTTGAGAGTTCAGGGTAAGGAGATTTTTTTTCTTCAATATATATACAATGTTCTGAGTAGTTCCGTGTTAACCTTTTTGTCTTGTTCCATATTTTTCATTCATCTTTTGTAGTTCCTATTTATCTCAAAGTATTATAGAAAGAGCACCAGACACTGAATAATTCATAAGGAAACTGGATGATAAGAAAACCTTCAGCGAAAACTGTACAAAAATTTTATCGTCCATTATAACGGAAGAGTGATTAAGCGAAAGAGGAAAAGACGTAGTCCTTTGGATATTAATATTTAAAAAAAATCATTTCTTTCTAGAGTAGAGTGGAATTGAGATGTGCGTCCCTTCTTTTACTAAAGAAAATAAAAATTGTTCAAGACAAATCAAAATATTCAAAGCCATCAAAAAGAAACAATATTAGAAATTTAATAACGAAAATAAAGAATGTTTTTCATTCGCTGTTTCGAAGATAAAAGGCAATAAAAATCCAATTTTGCTTTCTTTTTGAATTATTGCGGTGGACGATTTGCGTTCTTCAGCTACAGTTCAAACTAAAGTGCTTTTTCAGAAATTGAATATTCAGATGATATTTTGTATTGATTCGATTCTTGGTTCTTCGCTTTGTTCGCAAATCATTGGATCTTAAATCATTCATAATGTTATTTTCACAAATATTCTCATTTCCTTTTAAAAACTTTATTGGTGTCTTCTCTAAATTCGAATAAATTCAGTTACTTCGTATTAAAAGCTTAATCCATTTATTTTCTGGATAATGCGAAAATTTACAAAACCAAATAGCAATGTTCTCTATCGATTGTGTTAATGTCCAAAATAAATTTAGGTGAAATACTGAAAGAAAATACATATATCTTTTTATTCATTGCGAAGTCATTGAAAAACAGTTATTATTATAACTAACTTTAAAATAAGCTTTGCTTTCGGCCGCAGAGGCAAATATTAAATGGAAATTTGCTGCGGATATTAGGACATTTCCTTGAATTTATGGGACAAAAGAGCACTGATTTCTTCACATTATGTGATATACAGCAAAGCGTATAAACTGTGTTATAACTGAATGCTTTGTATTACCAAACTAAGTTTTCTCAACAAAACAGCTTACGTATAGCTTTCGGAAGGTAATGGGATATATGGCTAGAACGTAAAGGAGTAAGTTGCTGTTGATTAAAACGTTACATTTAATTATCAAAACAATTTGAAATGTATTATAATAAATATTCCCGTTGCCGTTTTGGTTAAGCATGGTTCTATTGTATTATAGTACCGTACAGTACAGCAAGTCCTGTTTAAATTTGTGATTAGTTGTATGTGTCTATTTAATGTAGCAACAGTATAATTAAAATTTATTTAAATCACTTATATTATGTAATAAAATAAAATATCAGTTCTTATTTAGCATTGTTTTATACTTTATCTCACATTGCTAATGCCTTTCTGAGATACAAATGAAGATTCCTCTTTTTCTTCATGAGAAAATGATTATGCTAACTGATTCCTAATTGAATTGACATTTTTCTCCCACTATTGTTCAAAAAGAAAGGAATAATAAGAAAAGTGAAATTCATCAGAAGATAAAATTCATTTCGAGCCTGCTGCAAATGTTTATTGTATTTTTATTAATATTTCCCAATGAAATGTAAAACTTCGTTGTCTAGTTTTCGAATTTAAAATTTTAATTTGATTTTCCTTCAGATATTACTGTTCCATGCGGTTTTAAAATATGTACTCTGAAATATGCTATCGCGTGTATTTAAACTTGATGATATTTTATTCTTCAGCTTTATACTATCCTATCTAGCATAACATATTGTTCTCTGAAATATGCTATCGCGTGTAAACTGATGGAATATTGTGTGCCTGCTAGAGATAATCCTTCGGTAGTTAGATATTATTAGAAGTCTTTTATATTATTATATATAAATATTTCATAATTTAGAAATGTTTATAGCACTGCCATCAGAATGTGAAATTCAAAAATTGCTTACTTAAATTTTAAATAAATGTCAAATTTAATGACTCGAAATCTTAAAGGAAATGTTACTTTTAAATTTTAGAAACTTATAGAAAACATTTTTCTAGTGTAGAGTTGTTCCATGCCTTTAAAAGTTTATTCGATTGAATTTACTGAATTCCAGCCAAAACTACTGAGTTAACTTATATTTTTCGAAAGAACTTTTCCATAGTTTATTAAATAATTTCATGACTACTGCATTGTAGCAGTAGTTCTCGTTCATTATGTCCAACTTAAGCTCAATTACGTTGAAATGTGCACTGGAGAAAGCATGTACCACTATGACATGACAACCATTACTTTCTTTATCTTCTGACTTTGAAGCTATATCTAAATTGACAACTATGCAAAATCCATAAATTATATTTCCAGTAATATTTAGTCAAGAAACTGTATTTCCTGCCTTAAGTTTAACCTTATAAGGTTCACTATTAGCTTTCATTAACGAGTTATTTTTATATTTTAGATATTTACTGCCTTTTCTCCTTTCCGTTTCCTTGCCAGTATGCAAATTAGATTCGAGTATTTAAGATGAAGTTTTTAGAATATAAGAAAAGGCGTGTATATGCCTGTTTGAACGTACGTTACTTGTGTTCCAATTCTAACAGCCTGAATTTCTCGGCCTTGCATTGTTTGCTGCCGATATTTAAATATCTACGCCGGTTAGCTTCGTCAGCCAACTTCGCGTTAAACTGAATTATGTAGTCTTTGACTACTAGCTTATTGTTTCTTTCAGTTATGTCGCCATAAGTGGTGAAAGTTTTCTTTATTAGTATTGGGGATGTATTGCTTTATGTAAAATATTTACTATTTGTTTAGAATAAGATAATTCAAAGACGTTTCTTAGTTTACTGGTAAGGTTTCGTAGCTTTTCAGAATTCTTCAGATACTCTGATATATATGAAGGCCATCTTTGCTAAAGTTATGGAGAGGTTATCAGTTCAGCGTTATTTCTAAATGTTTTGGATTCTCTGACCTAAAATACCGAGAAAATAATGGTGAGCGTTAGCGGTAAAATGCAGGCGCCAATGAAAGTCAAGCAGTTAAATTATAAATAGAGAATCGTTTCGCTTCTGTGTATGTTACGGAGACAGAGAGAATGTTTCTATTCTTCTTGAGATGCGATTAGGCCCCTCCTAAGGAAAGAACGTGCGCTTGAAAGAAGAATTTTCACATGTGAAATTGTTGGAAAGCCTTTTGTTGTAGGAGGTAAATGGATGTGGCAGCTTTTTAAAGAAAAAGTTTGTCTTGATCGCCATTTGTTGTTTAAATGGGTTTTGGACTTAAATGCAAACAAACGTATTATTTTCTTGAGAGATGTTTTGTCGGTACGTGAAATTATCTTGGAGAATTCCCACTACAAACGACATGAGAAACGTACCCTACTCGCCTTTCCTTGGGGCGATTCCTAATTTTGATAGGTATTTGGTTATAATTGGCCCAGGAAAGGTTGCTGCAGATTGTGATTGACCAATGATAATCAAGTGAAAGTGTTTGCGTCAGAAGATGGAATTTTAATTGATACTTAGATTTGGTCGAAAAAACAGGCTTTTTTTTCGGCTTTTAGTTCTGGACTTCCTTTGTCGACGACTAAGAAATTTAGCGAAAATGAAGGGGGAAGAAAAGAGACAGAGAATGCAAGGAATAGCGAATAGTAAGGTGTGTAATCCCCCTCTTTCGAGACGGAGAAAGAACTTGAAATGATGGATGATGCTGGAGATGACTTGAAAAAGACAAAGTGATAAAGGTTCCTGCTAAACACTGATGAAATGTTCTAGTTTTACATCTGTAAATTAAGAAATTATGTGTATTAAGAAATGACTCAGCGATAAATGTTCCTGCCGTACATTGATGAAATGTTCCAGTTTTACAGACGTTTAAGAAATGACTGAGTTGTAAAGGCTCTTATACTACATAATGAAATGTTTCAGTTTTACAGACGCTTAAAATGAAGGTTTCTGCCCTACATTGATGAAATGTTCTTGTTTTATAGACATTTAAGTGATAAAGGTTCTTGCTTTATACTGATGATGTGCGATTATCCTGGCGTTCTGCAATTGTCCTGACGTTTCCGACGTGTTATAGACTATTCTGAACTGCTATTTAGCGTGTTGGAGAGGATTGTTCCCCTCTATGAACAACAACGAACAGTATGAAAAACTAAGGCAATAAGTGACTGTATTTGAAGAGGTTACATGAGTTCATTTACAACCAGACCCTCGGTGTGTTATCCTTCAGCATCTCGTAAGTTTGTTTCAGATTCCAGATTATTGAAGTCTGCTGTTGTAAATACCCTTCAGCAGCTCCTAGCTTGTAGAGCTGACTTTTTAAATCTGAATTTTTTAGAGTAAATATTTCAGGTGTTTAGAATAAAGCTTTATTTGTATATTTATTGCGACTTTAATATGTTAATTTGCTAATTAGGGGCGTATAGAAAGATGAATGCTATTTTTCCACAATAGTACAGTTTATGAATCTTAAATTGTAATGTCAGTGGAATATGGGTTGTTAATGATATATTTAAATTAATATAGCTTGGGCACAATTTTTAAATTTCGAGATTATTTTCTCTAGATAATGATTTCGTTATTTTATTTATTTTATTAATTCCTCATGCAAAGTGTTTCGAAAAATCTACACTCTTTCGATCTCGAGCAGTATAATAGTACTCGATTTATAATTAATTGTTTTAATTTATTAATAAATTATTGACAATTTATGCAGTTAGTGGCAAATCGATCGTGTCGAGTTTTGACTGAATATATTACTCTGAATTTTAAACTTATCGTGCGCTTCATAAAATTTATTTTCTATAGCAAATATTTTAGCTCTATTAAGTCCTTAAATCAAGCTTTGATCCTTTATATACACTTACAGGAGCACTTCTGAAAGAATATTATGTTGATCGAAGGCCATATCTCCACTGGAGCCATAAAACGATTGCCAAATACATCATGAACAAGTACCTGAAGACTTCAAGAGATCTCCAGGCTTGTTACGCTGAACTGGCCAGTGCCTTTCAACTGGGATTTCTAATGGAAAAGGAGAAGGTGATACGTCCTTTTATTGGTCTTAGACTGATAACTTTCCGTGATTCGTCCCGCTTCTCTTTATAAAACACTCAAATTTTCAATATCATTTTGATTACGTAACGTTTTTTTAAACTTGATATCTGGCGTGAATGCAAACATACTGATCTGATATCATATGGCATTAATTTGAAATTCAAGAAAGCAGAATAACAAGAAATGCATAGAATGAAAGAAAAACCTCCTAAACTTTAAAATACATATGTTTTACTTTAGTTATATGAAAACTGTCAAGACGGTAATCAAAGTACCGTCTTGACAGTTTTCATATTCAACTTGACATATCATAATTGTTTCAGCAGAACCTTTGTTAGCCAGCTTAAGTAATCGATGGCAATTCTTCGTTAACAAATCACATAAGGTTTTAATGACATCCTAAATTCAAATTTTTCTTTTTAATTTGAATATATAATATTACAGTAAGCTTAAAAATACAGAATAAAGCTCATTTGAAAAGTAAATTATTGCAATGACTTCGATCGCCACGAAAGATATTGCTTCCTCAATGGCTAAACTGCAACGGCACTTTTAATTTAATTGCTCGCGACGTCATGCAACGACCATAGAAGACCCGATACGGAGCCTCTTCATCAGCAATTGGTTCTTACAACAAATTAAAGATGGCGCCACTAGAGAAACAATGTGTAATGGTCACAAATACTACGCTGTCTGTAGAATTTTCATTAAGCTGATGTTGAACTTATATTTGTAGGAGTGTATGAAACAAACTGGAGCAAATTTACCATAATTTTATTTGATGTCAATCAAAATCAAAGATGAAAAGATAGAATTATTTCTTGGATATTTTGCAAGAGAAAATACTTAGTATGAAATCGTCATGCTTAAAGCTGAGAATTCTTTGCAGAAAAGGCGAACTTTTTTAGATAAGGAAATAACACGAAGCTAATTAATTAATTAATCTCTATATTTTGCTTGTGAGGTATGCATTCAGCATATTGTTAAGCACAGGCGTTATATACCGTTCTAAAATATCTCACATAAATAGGATTAATGGCTGTATACTTTTGGAATGAGCATATGAGTTTATAAAATACGTTAGAATTTTCTTTCCTTTACCTCTCTGCCCTTCTGAACTCTTCTCGTCCTTTAAAAAGAGAATTCTAGATCTTTTTATGTATATATATATATAATCTGCGCCATATTTGCTTCCACCCGCATATTTCTGATAAAAAAGGCTGCAAAAGTGCTTAACCATTTTCGATGGAGATGTCGCAGTCAATACCGTGAAAGATAGTTCTTCGAGTTTTATAGCGAATTACGTACGATCTAACGTATAATTCTGTTAATATAAAGAAAAAATTCTAAAATAAGTAGGAATATTATGGTATTGGGATCCAAATTCCTCATATTTCATTCTAACACTCCGAAAAAATGTTTATTAATAATGTTTTTTAATTAGGAGTACATAAAAATCATACAAATATTTTACTTTTTTCATAAGTAAAAATATATTGCTGTCAACTTACAAAACTTAATATTTACAGCTAAGTAAAATAAAAACACAACTCAAAACAAAATTCAGTTTTAATCTCTGCTTTTGTTTCTGCACTTTTTTAACGTCAAATGGTATAAATAAACAACTATCAAAATATTATTGGTTGATTAAAATTTAAAAAAGTTTGAAAAGAATTACAATTGTACATTTCTATAAATTTCATCATCACCGTTTGATTTTATTTTCCAGCAAAATAATAATAACAATAATAAATAAAGAAATAAAATTCTGAATGTTGCAATTCATCTACTATTGAATGCTAGTAATGTAGTATTTTGTTATCTGGTCAATGATTTTTAAAATAATAATTATTGTTAAATGGTATAAGGAACTATGAAAGAAATAACTTTTAAAATATTTGCTTTACTTACAATAACAAGAATCGCATTTTTTTATGTTTTACTTTAGTTACCTGAAAACTGTCAAGATGGTAATCAAATCCCTATCATAATTGTTTCAGCAGAACCTTTCTTAGCCAGCTTAAGTCATCGACGGCAATTCTTCTCTGGAAGATAAGTAAAAACTCTCGTGCATCAATAATTAATAACAACGTACGCTTCCGTTTCTCATTTTAATTTATAAATGAACAAAATTTTGTCATTTAGCTTAAAAAAAAATAATGCGCATGAAAGGCGTTAAAAAACAATTTTCAGTATTTGAAAACTGTTCGGATATTCTTTACTTCATTAACTTGCTTATTCCTTTTCCCTCTGCAGTCTTTAGTAGATGACCATGGTTTTTCATTTTTTATTTATTTAAGGAAATTATACCCAGTAAATTAATACAGTAATTTATTTTTGCGAAAGTGAGACAACATCATTCATCTCTCTTAATGAAAAGACATATCAGCTAAAATTCAAAACAACGAAATTACATTTACCTACATTAAATCAGAAATAGTACTGGTGCAAATGGTTATGGAGAAATAAAAAACATATTTTTTTTTATTATTTAAACGTAGGAAGAAAATTCTGGAACAGATCCATCAAAGCGTAAAGACGACTGGTGCGATATTCTAAGAGAAATCGATGAACTTTGGTATCATTTGCTTCGAAGTAGTAAGTAAATTATTTCACAAGTTATTTTAATAATTTCTTAAAATGTTCTGTCTAAATCTTCTGTTATATGCAGATATTTTAGCATACAGAAAATATGTATTAAGGGTATAGGTTCTCTTTTTGTTGTTTCAAGCCTAATCATAGCTAAAAGTAATAATTTTTTGAGTATTAAATTTTCTACTTAAAACGTAATTAACTGACCAATTTTCCGATTAATTATTTTTTTCACATTTTCTGTTAGATACTATTTTTATTCCGATTTTGAAATTTTTAGTTCTTAGTAGTAGTTAAAATTTCTGTTTATTTTGTAGGATTTCATCCGCCAGAAATTTGTTGTGATTCTTTTTTTTTGTGCAAAAAAAAAAAAAAAAAAAAAAAAAAACATATCAAATTTAATATCTACAACAAATATTTTTTTTATTTCGCTTTAATTTATGACTACCTATTTTAGCAACATCGTGATTTGATATATATAAGGTATGCTCTAGTCAATAAGAGACAATATTTATTGCCCAATCGGACTCTAAAAACAGACCTCTAGAATCATTATATGTCTTTGTAATTTATGCGCAATGAATCATTCCGCCGTTCTGTAATACGGCGCATTTTGATTTGACATACAAGGTATGCTCTTTATGATCCCAACAAAATAGATACTTAAACAAAATCTGAAGGTAACTAACACTCTGTGGTTACTATCTTTAAGGA